GTGTTTGACACCAGACATGGTGAGCTAGATATATTCTGTTCTTACAGTGAACACTAACATTACAGATCTTACTTCGAATCACTGGCACCTGATCAGGTAAACCAATGTGAAGTGTTTGACACCAGACATGGTGAGCTAGATATATTCTGTTCTTACAGTGATTATCAACATTACAGACCTTACTTCATATCTTCAGAATCTAATCAGATACACCAACATGAAGTGTTTAACACCAGACAAGATAAGTTAGGTAGTGGGTTTAATAATTAATACATGTTTACCATATTGGCATATTCATGATGATGAAGAAATATCATTTCAGATAAGTGTTTCTTAAACATCTTTTTATAGTCCTACAAAAATATATGTATTAAAGAGCTTAGTTCATTCTTAGGTAATATTTTGTGTTATTTGGTCTTTCTCACTTTCCAGAATTATCTGAATAGAAAATGTACTTACAGAGGAGAGAGAGAATATTAGATGAATTTGAAAAAAAGATATTTTGCTTTTTTTATACAGTTGGTTTCAAAGTTAAAATATCTTGGTAGTAGTAGGTAATAAGAAGAAAGTTAAATAGCATGATTTTTTTAGGAAAAATGCTTAGCTTTACTATAATGAGTGTTCTGGAATGCTTTAACTTAAAAGAATAGAGTATGATATTTTGTGAACCGAAAAATTATTTTAAAAACTAGAACTTTGAATTAGTCAAATATTGATTACATACATATACTTATAAAGTGTTTTGGTGACTTCTTCAGAAAATAAATCTTTTCATGTTTAATTTTCTCTATCTTTCAGTTTTTGTAAACTGTATGATTATTTTTATGTTTATTAAATGTTTGTACTTTATTAGTGCTCAGGTATTCAGTTTTGCTAGCTTATCCATCTATCCTGAAGACTGACTTGGCTTAAAAGGTTAGAGGCCATAAAACTACGTTAACCAGAAAGAGCCTAAAGAAAGAAAGAAAAACAGTCTAATGTAAGCTTTGAGAAAAATCCAAACAACTATGATGGACCAATAAGTGGACATGTCTGTATACATGCTGAAAGCCAGGTGAGAGATTGATATAAAATTAAGCAATAATTAAAATCGCTCTTAAATTACAATAAGCAGTAGTTAGCTTCATCTTTACAGGAACATGAAAAATGTTTTCATTTATAATTTGTTGCCGTATAAATGTAATGAAATGGAAGTGAGTTTAGCATGTAAATATAAGTTACAAAACACGTTTGAAAGTCATCTAGATCATATGACTAATAAGAATTCTTTTTAGAATATCAAAAGGTTTTTTTGATAATGCTGATAATATATATGAGTGTATTAGCCCGGCATGGCCAGGTGGTTAGGGTGCTCGACTCGCAATCTGAGGGTCGCGGGTTCAAATCCCCGTCACACCAAACACGCTCGCCCTTTCAGCTGTGGGGGCATTATAATGTGATGGTCAATTCCACTATTCATTGGTAAAAGAGTAGTCCAAGAGTTGGCAGTGAGTTGTAATGATTAACCGCCTTCCCTCTAGTCTTACACTGCTAAATTACGGATGGCTAGTGCAGATAGCCTTCGTGTAGCTTTGCGCCAAATTCAAAACAAACAAATATATGAGTGTTATTTTTAAATGCTATTTGAACCTTCCACCTTAAAAGACTATTTCCATAACTCTTCTACAACTGGAGGGGTGGGTGTCACTGACGTCCCTCAAATATTTACTTTCCCATTGAAGATCTGGAAAAGATTTATAAAAATAAGTTCCTTCTTTAAAGGCTAAAGCTAATTAATTAACTGCCAGTTTATTTTAATTGGCTTAAAGGTTTAAATGTATTATATATAACTCTGATGTTTTGCTTCTTTCAAGTATATAATGTATTCTTTTGACTTTGTTGTCATAAAATTAGTTGATAAATGGCTTATCTTCCTTTGCAAGTTTGAGTCACATGACTTTCAAGAAAATTGGTTCATTGAAGTTTGTTGCTTTTGATAAACAAAAAGTCAAATAACTTGTTTTGGAAAGAAAATATATTATCTGTTTGTGTATGTTAACCCAGGTTGGAAAATATATTATCTGTTTATGTATGTTAACCCAGGTTGGAAAATATATTATCTGTTTATGTATGTTAACCCA